AGTCGGATGCTTAACCGACTGCGCCACCCAGGCGCCCCTGAATGGTTTTAATAAATGTATATAGTTGTACGACAATCAACATAACCCAGTTTTATTTTTTAATGTTTTATTTATTTTGGGAGACAGAGAGAGAGACAGAGTGAGGGCGAGCACAAAGAGGGGGAAGGGCAGAGAGAGAAGGGGACAGAGGATCCGAAGTGGGCCTTGCGCTGGCAGACTGACAGCAGTAAGCTCAATGTAGGACTCGAACTCACAAACCGTGAGATCATGACCTGAGCTGAAGCTGGACACTCAACCAACTGAGCCACCCAGGAGCTCCGACATAACCTAGCTTTAAAACATTTCCACCAAGTATACTGTTTTGTGTGTGAGGCACTGGATATAGAATTATTTGGAAAGCACCAATTTAGATAAAAGTAGGAGATACAGGTGCCAGTAGCTACTGTCAACTACCACTGGCTATGAAGCAGGTTTCAACATCACACTTGCCCTTTTTTGTATCCCTACAACCAGACACAGCTCCCACTCAATGCTGCTTGACCCCCTAGTGATACCTACAAAGTGGAGGAAATTTTGAGAGACAGTTAAACAGGAGGTGAGGGTTATGGGCCAGGAGTCAGGACAGTCAAGACTAGGTTCAATCTCGGCTGGGCTGTCCTCAGCACAAAATCTGAGGCAACCGTGCAATAGCTCTGGACATCAGTGTCCTTAGATGTAAACGGAGAGGCTGGCCGAGGAGGGACGGGAGGAGGATCTGGTTAACTTCAGCCGAACACTCTAAGCAAATTTCAACTTATTCTAAAATTGCAATATACAACAACTAAAACCAAGGTTTCTCTGGTTAAATTAGAGAGTGGGGCTCGCCCATCTTCCACCCAGGTCCCCAAAATAATCTCAGTAAAGCTCTGGAGGCTCCAAAAAATCACACTGGACCGGGCCTGAGTTCTAGCCCGCTCTGACACATCACGGCTCTCATCACAGGCACTGTAGCTCTGAAGATCCCTGATCAAACAAGGCAACCACAGCCTCACATTTTAAGTTATTATGATATATTTGAAAAGAAGAATTTGTTTTTACTACTGAGGCATTTGGGCCCTAATTCAGCAGTACTGGAAAATAAAAACATGCTGCTAGTTTGGATATACCAATGGTTTTAAGATATAAATAAATGTATAAGCAAAAAGAATGGATTAACTGAGACTATGATTTTAATTTTACATCATATGGAATGAAGACGTTCTCTACTTTAATTTAAACACTTATTGAGGCACCACCAGGAAAGAGACATTGTCAGTTCTTGGGCCTGTGACATGCAAGTCAGTCCAATCAGCCATCCCACCCTCGCAAGGAAGTGACAAATTGATGCCTGGGGAAAGGCAAGGGTAAAGGATGACAAATTCACAAATGTGTGAATAAGCGTAGACTCACTCTGACGGGATACGGCTGGGGTGATGCAGAGGAAGGCATGATTATGTTCAGGAGG